AGTGAACACTGTGGTGACGTATTCTTTCAAAGCATGGTTTTCTCCAGATACATGCCCAAGAGTAGGATTGCTGGATCATATGCTAGCTCTATTTTAAGTTTTTTAAGGAACCTCCATGCTGTTCTCCATAGTGGCTGTACAGATTTACATTAATACCGACAGGGTATTTACATTAATACCAACAGAGTGATGGTGGCCTCATAAAATGAGTTTGAGAGTGTTCCTTCCTTTGCAGTGTTTTGGAATAGTTTGAGAAGCATAGGCATTAACTCTTCTCTAAATGTTTGATAGAATTCACCTGTGAAACAGTCTTGTCCTGGACTTTCGTTTGTTGGGAGTTTTTAAATCACAGTTTCAATTTCAGTACTTGTGATTTTTCTCTTCATATTTTCTATTTCTTCCTAGTTCAGTCTTGGGAGATTGTACTTTCCTAAGAATTTGTCCATTTCTTCTAGGTTATCCATTTTATTGGCATATAGTTGCTTGTAGTAGTCTCTTATGATCCTTTGTATTTCTGTGGTGTCTGTTTTAACTTCTCCATTTGCATTTCTAATTTTTTTGATTTGAGCCCTCTCCATTTTTTTCTGGATGAGTCTGGCTAAAGGTTTATCACTTTTGTTGTTTATCTTTTGAAAGAACCGGCTTTTAGTCTCATTGATCTTTTCTATTACTTTGTCTCTAATTTCATTCATTTCTGCTCTGATCTTGATGATTTCTTTCCTTCTACTAAGTTTGGGTTTTGTTTGTTTTTCTTTCTCTAGTTGCTTTAGGTGTAAGGTTAGGTTGTTTATTTGATATTTTTCTTGTTTCCTGAGGCACAACTGTATTGCTATAAACTTCCTTCTTAGAACTTTTTGCTGCGTCCTGGAGGTTTTGAATCGTGTTTTCGTTTTCATTTGTCTCTAGGTATTTTCGATTTCTGCTTTGACTTCTTCAGTGATCCATTGGTTGTTTAGTAGCATATTGTTTAGCCTGTATGTGTTTGTGTCTTTTACAGATTTTTCTTGTTGAATTATAATCTCATAGCATTGTGATCAGAAAAGATGCTTGATATGATTTCAGTTACATAAATTTACCGAGGCTTGCTTTGTGGCTCAGCATGTATTCTATTTTGGAGAATGTTCCATGTACACTTGAGAAGAATCTGTATTCTGCTGCTTCTGGTTGGAATGCTCTATAAATATCAATTAAGTCCATCAGATCTAGGGACTTTCGTGGTGGCGCAGTGGTTAAGAATCCGCCTGCCAATGCAGGGGACATGGGTTTGAGTCCTGGTCTGGGAAGATCCCGCATGCTGCGGAGCAGCTAAGCCCATGCGCCACAATTACTGAGCCTGTGCTCTAGAACGTGTGAGCCACAACTACTGAGCCTGTGTGCCACAACTACTGAAGCCCCTGCACCTAGAGCCTGTGCTCCACAACAAGAGAAGCCACTGCAATGAGAAGCCTGTGCACCACAATCAAGAGTAACCCCCGCTCGCTGCAACTAAAGAAAGTCCACATGCAGCAATGAAGAACCATCGCAGCCAAAAATAAATAAATAAGCATTAAAAAGACTCAATGTATAAATAAATAAATAAAAAATAAATAAGTCCATCTGGTCTAACATGTCATTTAAGGCCTGTGTTTCCTTATTGGTTTTCTGTCTGGATGATCTGTCCATTGATGAAAGGGGGGTGTTAAGTTTCCCCAGTATTATTGAGTTACTGTGAATTTCTCCTTTGATGGCTGTTAGCATTTGCTTTGTATATTGAGGTGCTCCTCTGTTGTATGCATATATATTTACGATTGTTATATCTTCTTCTTAGATTGATCCCTTGATCATTATGTAGTGTCCTTTTTTGTCTCTTGTAACAGCCTTTATTTTAATGTCTGTTCCATCCAATACGAGTATTGCTACTCCAGCTTTCATTTGATTTCCATTTGTGTGGAATACCTTTTTCCATCCCTTCACTTTCAGTCTGTATGTGTCCCTAGATATGAAGTGGGTCTTTTTTAGACAGCATATGTACAAGTCTTGTTTTTGTATCCATTCAGCCAGTCTATGTCTTTTGGTTAGAGTATTTAATCCATTTATGTTTAAGGTAATTATTGATTTGTATGTTCTTATTGCCATTTGGTTAATTGTTTTGGATTTGGTTTTGTAGGATTTTTTTCTCTTGTGATCTGATGACTGACTTTAGTGTTGTATTTGGATTCTTTTGTGTGTGTGTATCTATTGTAGATTTTCGGTTTGAGGTTATCATGGAATTTTGATATAGCAGTCTATATACATACAAGATTGTTTTCAGTTGCTGGTCTTTTAATTTCGAATGCACTTCCAGTATCCTGTATTTGTACTTTCCTCTTCTCACGATTGCTGGTTTTGATATTATATTTGTATGTGGATGATTTCCTACCTCTGCTGTATGTTTGCCTTTAGTGGTGAGCTTTCCCATTTGTAATTTTCTTGTTTGTAGTTTTGGCCTTTTCTTTTCTACCTAGAGAAGTTCCTTTAGCATTTGTTGTCAAGCTAGTTTGGTGGTGCTGAATTCTCTTAGCTTTTGCTTCTTTGCAAAGCTTCTATTTCTCCGTTGAATCTGAATGAGAGCCTTGCTGAGTAGGGTATTCTTGGTTGTAGGTTTTTCCCTTTCATAACTTTAAATATATTGTGCCACTTTCTTTGGGCCTGTAGCCTTTCTTCTGGAAAATCACCCTATCACCTTATGGGGATTCCCTTTTATGTTATTTGTTGCTTTTCCCTTGTTGCTTTTAGTATTTTCTTTCTGTCTTTAATTTTTGTAAGTTAATAAAATCTTTATGTATTTGGCTGTGCTGGGTCTTACTTGTGTCACGCAGGATCTTCTGTCTTTGTCGTGGCGTGTGGAATTTTGAGTTGCAGCATGCAGCATCTTTTATTGTGGCATGCAAACTCTTAGTTGTGGCATGCAAACCCTTAGTGCGGCATGTGAACTCAGTTGTGGCATGTAGGATCTAGTTCCCCGACGAGGGATCGAACCTGGGCCCCCTGCATTGGGAGCGTGCAGTCTTCTCCACTGGACCACCAGGGAAGTCCCAGTTTTTGTAAATTTGATTAATATGTGCCTTGGCTTGTTCCTCCTTGGGTTTATCCTGCCTGGACTCTCTGTGCTTCCTTTCTTGTGATAAGGAAGTTTTCAGCTATTATTTCTTCGAATATTTCCTCGGGTCCTTTCTTATCCTTCTGGGACCCCTATAATGTGAACGAATTTTGGTGTGTTTAATGTTGTTCTAGAGGGCCTCTTAGACTGTCATTATTTCTTTTCATTCTTTTTTCTTTATTCCGTTCCAGGGTAGTGATTTCCATTATTCTGTCTTCCAGCTCACTTATCTGTTTTTCTGCCTCACTTATTCTGCTATTGTTTCCTTCTAGTGTATTTTTCATTTCAGTTATTGTATTGTTCATTTCTGTTTGTTGTTTAGATCCTCTAGGTCTTTGTTAACCATTTCTTGTATTTTCTTGGTCTGTGCCTCCATTCTTTTTCTGAGATCTTGGATCATCTTTACTGTCATTACTCTGAATTCTTTTTTGGGTAAATTGCTTATCTCCACTTTACTTAGTTGTTCTTCTGGGCCTTTATCTTGCTCCTTCATCTGGGACATATTCCTCTGCTGTCTAATTTTGTCTAACTTTCTGTGATTGTGGTTTCCATTCCACAGGCTGCAGGATTGTAGTTCTATTTTAAATTAATTAATTTTATTTTTGGCTGCATTGAGTCTTCATTGCTGCACATGGGCTTTCTCTAGTTGTGGTGAGCAGGGGCTACTCTTCGTTGTGCGGGCTTCTCATTGTGGTGGCTCCTCTTGTTGCAGAGCATGGGCTCTAGGTGCGTGAGCTTCAGTAGTTGTGGCACTCGGGCTCAGTAGGTGTGCAGGCTCTAGAGCACAGGCTCATATTTGTGGCACACTGGCTTAGTTGCTCCGTGGCATGTGGGATCTTCCTGGATCAGGGCTCGAACCTGTGTCCCCTGCATTGGCAGGCGGATTCTCAACCACTGCTCCACCAGGGAAGCCCGGGATTGTAGTTTTTGATTCAGGTGTCTGCCCCCTAGTGGGTGAGGCTGGCGAAGGGCTCATGCTGGCTTCCTGGTAGGAGGGACTGGTTTCTGCGCACTGGTGGCTATAGCTGGGTCTTGTCCCTCTGGTTGGCAGGGCCGTGTCAAGGTGCGTGTTCAGTGGGAAGCTGTAGGATCAGGAAGACTTTAGGCAGCCTGTCTTCCGATGGGCAGGGCTGTGTTCCCGCCCTGTTGGTTTTTTGGCCTGAGGCATCCCAGCCCTGGAGACTGCAGGCGGTTGGGTGGGGCCGGGTCTTGGTGAGAAGACCTCTGCCTCCAGGCAGTTCACGCCAATGAGCAGTTCTCAGAACTTACACTGCCAGTGTCTCTGTCCCCACAGTGAGCCACAGCCACCCCGCCCCCCCTGCCCACCTCCACGGGACATCCTCCAACATCAGCAGGTAGGTCTGGCTCAGGCCCTTATGAGGTCACTGCTTTTCCTCCCGGGTCCTGGTGTGCTCGAGACCTTGTGTGCCTCCTGCAAGAGTAGAGCTTCTGTTTCCCCCAGTCGTGTGGAATTTGCTGATCAAACCCCAGTGGCCTTCAAGCTGAGGTGGTTTGGGCACTCACCCTCCCGATGCCAGACTCCCTGGCTGGGGAGACGAATGTGGGGCTCAGAACTTTAACTCCTGTGTGCGAACCTTTCCAGTGTAAATATTTTCTAGTTTGTGGGTTGCCCAGCCGGTGGGGATGGAATTTGATTTCATCGTGATTGTGCCCCTCCTACTGTCTCTTTGTGGCTTCTTCTTTGTCTTTAGATGTAGGGTAACTTTTTTGGTAGCTTCCGGTGGTTTTTGGTCAGTGGTTGTTGAGCAGTTAGTTGTGATTTTGGTATTTTCATGAGGGGGACGAGCTCACGTCCTTCTCTGCCATCTTGTCTCCAAGCTCCCACTTCATAGAATTTAACTGTAAAATACAGTGTCTGTAGAAAATGCATAAGCCATTGCAGGACCCACGTAAACTTACTAAGGTGGACATCGATGGAGGGACGGCAAGGCCGAGACCTGGATGAATCCCTCACACCATCCCCCGCTCAACATGACTCCCAGACAGGCCTCCTCTGTCGGGTGAGTGACAAGTGTATGCCTCCCTGGGTCACTGTTTTAATTCTGTGTGCTTTCTTTGGAGTGCAAATGGCATTCTGTCAGTTTTCCGTTACTCAGTGCTGTTAGCTGCCCATGGGATGGCAGTCTGGTCACTCTTGCTAGTCTGTAGGGCCCTGTGATGGGGCTGCACCCTGTTCATTTCTTGATTCTACTGCTAGTAGCCACTTGGGTGGCCTCGAGGGTTTTCTGCTATGACATGTGCTTCTGAAAACTTTGGAAATCGTATACACTTGGATGTCTCGGCCTCATCTTCTCCAAATTGCCCATACTAGACCCCTGTTTCTCAGCCCCCAAACATCTTCTCTTCTGTTCTATGGTTGCCCTTTAGGAGGGGGATCAACCCTGCCCCCCACCCAAGATGGGCTTGGTTGTCAAGATGATGCCATTTGCACCAAGAGGATCAGAAGATAGTTGGTAATGTGGGGAGATGGACGCAGGTGTACGCTCTTGCAGGTGGCCAGAGGAAGAGCTGGTGCGGCCTCCGTCGTGGCTGGGCGTTTATGAGGTTTGATCTTCCCACCCACAGGACACATGGCACTCGTGGGCCTCCTTATCCATTCGCATAGACCGGGCCAGGCAGGGAAGAGGGTGGGGCTCTGGAAGTTCTTCCGAGTCAGACCACAGATCCCATCACGAATGGATCCAGCCTCTTCATTGTAATTCACCTCCGATGTTTGGTTGAAGACTGACACACCTCATCTCATCTAATCGAATATGAACTTGTCTGAGTGTGAAGCTTAGAAGCCTAGTGCCCAAGCAGTGTAATGTAGTTAAGACAAGCAGACGTCGGAAGAACGTTGGAATCCGCTTAATCCCAGGGCATTGGAGGGGGCGGGAGACACCCTGGGGGCTTCCGGGCTCTGTCCAGCTATTTCTGCCATGCTTTTGTGCAGGCTTGCCAGGGCTGTCTACCCACCTGCAATGAAAGGCCCCTTCAGGCTGGTGAACGAATAGTCCTCAGCCAGGCGGTCAGCAGCTCCATGGAAAGCATCTAAACACAAGGCGTCTGCTGCACGTGGCTCGAGTATTTGGGTATTTCCTGAGTGCCACCTGGGCTGTGGGCCCACAGGACCATCGTCACGTGGGAGGTACCGGGGCACTGGTTCACCTCTGTCCTGCCAGCACCAGTGCAGGAAGGAAGGAGGCCTCTGCAGGGGTGAGCCTGTGTGGTGCTGCATGTGCAACCCAAGGCATCAGGGCAGCTGGGGGCCAGCAGCCCGGTCTCAGGGCCTGGAGGGCCTCGGCTCCCGCAGGGCCCAGCGCGTGGTCATCGTGGTGCGCCACTGCTCTGTATTGCTAGGAGGGCTACCAGATGCCTGAGCAGCTAACAGCACATAAATTGCCTGCCGTAAATTGGGCCTGTCAGCCTACAGACCCCTGAACGTTTGAGATGGTGTGTTTGTTTGTTCCTGTGGATGAACCTACACTGACATGTCGTCATCACCCACAGTCCACAGCTGACTTTGCATGTATGTTCTGTGGGTTTAGACGAAGATGCGTCCACCTTTATAGTATCCTACGAAACACGTTCACTGCCCTAAAAAATGCCCTGTGCGCCTCCTAGTCACCCCTCCCCCAACCCCGATCCCCGGCAACCACTGGTCCTTTTACTGCCATCTCCACAGTCTTGTCTTTTCAAATAGATTTAGAAAAATCTTTTGATATGCTGTGATTTTTCTTCTTTAGACCGTTGAAGTGATTTTTTTTTTTTTTTTTGCGGTACACGGGCCTCTCACCGCCGCGGCCTCTCCCGCTGTGGAGCACAGGCTCCGGACGCGCAGGCCCAGCAGCCACGGCTCACGGGCACAGCCGCTCCGCAGCATGCGGGATCCTCCCGGACCGGGGCACGAACCCGCGTCCCCTGCATCGGCAGGCGGACTCCCAACCACTGCGCCACCAGGGAAGCCCCGTTGAAGTGATTTTTTAAAATTATTTATTTTTATGATTTTTTGCTGTGTTGGGTCTTAGTTGCTGCACGTGGGATCTTCGTTGTGGCTTGTGGGATCGTTCGTTGCAGCGCATGGGCTTGTCTCTAGTTGCGGTCCACGGGCTCTCTAGTTGTGGTGCATAGGATCCAGAGCACATGGGCTCTGTAGTTTGCAGCATGCTGGCTCTCTAGTTGAGGCACGTGGGCTCAGTAGTTGTGGTGCCTGGGCTTAGTTGCCCTGTGTCATGTGGGATCTTAGTTCCCTCACCAGGGATCAAACCCACGTCCCCTGCATTGGAAGGTGGATTCTTAGCCACTGGTCCATCCAGGAAGTCCCCTGAAGTGATTCTTGAATGTTGAGCCAACCTTGCATATCTGGGATAAATACCACTTGCTTATGGTGTATAATTCTTCTATATTACTGGCTTCAATTTGTTAATAATATTATTATTATTATTTTTTTCCTGGTATGCCTCTCACTGTTGTGGCCTCTCCCATTGCATAGCACAGGCTCCGGACGTGCAGGCTCAGCAGCCATAGCTCACGGGCCTAGCCGCTCTGCGGCATGTGGAATCTTCCTGGACTGGGGCACGAACCCGTGTCCCCTGCATCGGCAGGCGGACTCTCAACCACTGCGCCACCAGGGAAGCCCAATTTTGTTAATATTTTTTAAAAAATATTTATTTATTTATTTTGACTGCACTGGGTCTTAGCTGTGGCTTGTGGGATCTTCAATGAAGCATGCGGTCTTCTTAGTTGCGGCGGGCAAACTCTTAGTTGCGGCATGTGGGATCTAGTTCCTCGACCAGGGATCAAACCTGGGCCCCCCGTGGAGTCTTACCCACTGGACTACCAGGGAAGTCCCCAGTTTGTTAATACTTTGTTTGTGATTTTTACATCACTGTTTATGAGAGAGACTGATCTGTAGTTTCCTTGTCATGTCCCTGTCTGGTTTTGTTATTAGGGAAATGCTTATCTTATATAATGAGTTAGTACACATTCCCTCTGCTTCTGTCCTCTGAAACTAATTGTAGAGAATTAATTTCGTCCTTAAATGTTAGGTAGAATTCACCAGTGAACCCATCTGGATCTGGTGTTTTCTGCTTTGGAAGGTTAGTAATTATATTATTTTTTACTTTACTTTTTTACTGAAGTATAGTTGATTTACGATAGTGTGTTAGTTTCAGGTGTACAGCACAGCGATTCAGTTTTATACACACACACGCACACATACATATCTTTTTCAGATTCTTTACTCTTACAGGTTGTTACAAAATATTGAGTATAGTTCCCTGTGCTATAGCGTAGGTCCTTGTTGGTTATCTATTTTATATATAGTAGTGTGTATATGTTAATCCCAACTTCCTAATACATCCCTCTGTCCACGCCCCTTTCTCCTTTGGTAACCATAAGTTTGTTTCCTATGACTGTGAGTCTCTATTTTGGAAATAAGTTCATTTGTATATTTTCTTTTCTTTTACTTATTTACTGTTTTAGATTCTACATATAAGTGATATATAGTATTTGTCTTTCTCTGTCTGGTTTACTTCACTTAGTATGACTATCTCTAGGTCCATCCATGTTGCTGCAAATGGCATTATTTCATTCTTTTTTATGGCTGAGTAATATTCCATTGTATGTGTACCACATCTTCTTTATCCAGTCATCTGTTGATAGAAATTTAGGTTGCTTCCATGTCTTGGCTATTGTAAATAGTGCTGCTGTGAACATTGGGATGTATGTATCTTTTTGAATTACAGTTTTGTCCAGATATATGCCTAGTAGTGGGATTGCTGGATCATATGGTAATTCTGTTTTCAGTTTTTTAAGGACCCTCCATACTGTTTTCCATAGTGGCTGCACCAATTTACATTGCCACCAACAGTGTAGCAAGGTTCCTGGAAGGTTACTGATTGTTCATTCAGTTTCTTTCATAGACATAGGGCTATTCAGATTGTCTATTCTTGTGTGAGTTCTTGCAGGCTGTGTCTTTCAAGAAATAGGGCCATTCCATCAAGGTTATTAAATTTGTGGGTATAGTTATTCATAGTATTCCATTATTACCCTTTCAACATCCATAAGACATGTAATGATATCACCTAGTTCTTTGCTGATAGTAATAATTTCTGTCTTCTCTATTTTTTTCCTATTTAGTGTATGATTTTATTGATCTTTTCAGAGAGCCAGCTTTTGGTTTAGTTGATGTTCTCTACCAATTTCTTGTTTTAAATTTTATTGATTTCTGCTCCAAATTTTAGTATTTTTTTCTTCTGATTATTTTAGATTTAATTTGCCCTTTTTCTAGTTTCTTAAGGTAGAGGTTTAGATTATTGATTTTTAAAAAATTTTTTTTATTATTTTTTTTTGTGGTATGCAGGCATCTCACTGTTGTGGCCTCTCCCATTGCGGAGCACAGGCTCCGGACGCGCAGGCCCAGCGGCCATGGCTCACGGGCCCAGCCGCTCCGCGGCATGTGGGATCTTCCCAGACCAGGGCATGAACCCGTGTCCCCTGCATCGGCAGGCGGACTCTCAACCACTGCGCCACCAGGGAAGCCCGCCAGGCAGATTCTTAACCACTGGGCAGGCGGTTCTTAACCACTGTGCCACCAGGGAAGCCCTGCATCCCTCAAATTTTGATAAGTGTTATTTTCGTTTCCATTAAGTTCAAAATATTTTTTATTTCTCTGGAGATTTCTTCTTTGATCCATTTGTTACTTGGAAGTTTGTTGTTTACGAGTACTTGGGGGACTTTCCAGCTACCTTTATGTTATTTCCAGTTTAATTCCACTGTGGCCTAAGAGCATCCACTGTGATTTCTATTCTTTTAAATTCATTAAGGTTTGTTTTATGGCCCAAATAAGGTCTTTGTTGGCGATGGTCCCGTGTGCACTTGAGAGGATCTGTGTGCTGCTGTCTTTGGATGACGTCGTCTGTACTTGTGAATTATATCCAGTTGTGGATGGTACTGTTGAGTTCATTTATGTTCTTACTCACTTTTTGCCTCCAGGATCTGTCATTTCTGATAGAGATATACTGAAGTCTCTAGCTTAAATAGTGGATTCATCCATTTTTCGATGCTGTCGTATCAGTTTTTGTCTCTATCATGTGGACTCTGTCGTTAGGCGCACACGCACTAAGGGTTGTTATGTCTTCTTGGAGAATCGATGCCTTTATCATCATGTCATGCCTCTCTTTATCTCTGAGGATTTTCCTTCCTCTGAAATCTGCTCTGTGTGAAATACAGCTACTCAGGATTTGTATTTTTTTGTTTTTCTTTTTTTCTTCTTTTTTTTTTGGCTGCGTTGGGTCTTCGTTGCTGTGTGTGGGCTTTCTCTAGTTGCAGTGAGCGGGGGCGGCTTTTTGTTGCGGTGCACGGGCTTCTTATTGAGGTGGCTTCTCTTGTAGTGGAGCACGGGCTCTAGGCATGTGGGCTTCAGTAGTTGTGGCTCGCGGGCTCTAGAGCACAGGGTCCGTAGTTGTGGTGCACGGGCTTATCTGCTCCACAGCATGTGGGATCTTCCAGGACCAGGGTGCGAACCCATGGTCCCTGCATTGGCAGGAGGATTCTTAACCACT